ATACTTTTTTACTCCTTAGTCCCTCTCTCTTTTTACTCCACCACCCTGTCCTCTGTCCCTGGTTCTTTCCCTCCTGTTTTTCTTATCTTCCCTTTAGTTGTTTTTCTCACTTCTCTGTTGTTGTTTTTTTGGTGTTTTTTTTTCCCCTCTCTGGCTCTTCCTTCTTTCCTCTTTCTAAATCCCCTATTCTATTTTATTATTTACCTTCTCTGTCAGTCATTTCGTTCGTCCTCCAACCTTACTTCTCTGAATCATGCTTTATCTGGTGCATGTTTTACTCTCCACTCGTGTCCCCCTCCCCTCTGCTTATCATCACTCTAGTCTTTAATCTGCCCCTCACTTCCCATCTGTTCATTATCTCCAGGTTGTCCATCTCATCCTGTTACAGACAGACCGTGTCGCTTCTTGCTGCCCACATAAGAAACAGGAGTCTTTTAGCTGGCCTGCTTTTCTTCATTCCACTGTATGTTTCTCATACCACATCCCACTTTGTAGTGAATGTTAATGACAATTTAAAAATATTTTTACCAAAAAAAAAAAAAAATACAGTCCTGGATTTATGAAAAGGAAGACAACAGGGCTGCTTATCTTTTGTGTGAGGTGCCAAAGATATAGTCTTGCTTTCGTTGTCTCTATTCCATCTTGCTGCTGTTGCTGACATTCCAAAGAAGTTACATATTTCAACAGTCTTTATGCTCTATCTTTTAAATGTACACACTCGGGAGCTATTGAGAACAGAGGATGAATAAATACAGTCTGAAGAAGAGAACCCATTGGAGTGGCTAAGGAACTGAGAAATATTTTGTGTAAAAGAAAAGGAGCACCGAGGAAATATTTTATAAAGCTTTTTTTTTTTTTTTTTTTAATTTTAGATGAGGTTTTGGGTTTTAGACCCTGCTAAACAATTTCAACAATTGTGCAGTCTCCAGTATGCTTTGGGATAACTTCCTGGAGTGTGACTGAATAGAAATTACTCTTTTCTATCGAAGCAAGAATCTTCACAAAGACCAGAAGAACCATCTCTTCCATGAGAGAAGAAAAAAAAAACCTTCACGGTTTCTTTGCCTCTGGAAGGAAATTATGGGCTAAGAATTCAAGACTACAGATCCAAGCACATTCGGAAGTCCCAAACTGTTTAAACAAATCACTGAAGCAATTTGAAACAGTAAGCATTTAAAGAATTTTAGATCAGTAATTTTAAATCAAGTACAGAAAAGGAAGTTTTCTAGTTTTCTGCTGTTCAGGGAGCAAGAGATGCAGCACAGCTACCAAAGGGTTTTCTGTAGAAGCTGTTAGATGCAGTCCTTGCAGCTGATATATGTGGGCTTACTCATTAAGAGCCAAATAGGTTTTCTTGTAAGAGTAGACTAGGATATTGTTTCTTGCAGTGACATTTTACTGTAGATTTATAGTTTACATTTTGATGATTTCCTTGACTAAAATGTTTTGGTTTACAGGGAAAGCACAAAATATGTGGAAGCTGTTATGCTGGGCTGGTGAAAAGAACATGTGTGGCTCTTTGCTAACAAATAGTTTCTTAAAGGTCTACTATCTAACTAAAGCTCATGAAACTTCTTGATAACTGGTTTGACTCCCAAGTTCATGGTTCAGTTTTCATCTTCATTGAGGTTGAGGATGCTGCTGCTGTGTTTTATCAGATCAGGTTAGGTTCCTTATGTTTTTATGTGGTGCTTACTTGCAACCTATAGATATAATCACTTGGAACTGTACTACCACAGAACAATATGAAGGAAAAGGTATTAGTTTAAAAAACCCATATTGTGTTGTCCTTTTAACATGCAAGACTTTAATTTCTTTTGATCTAAGTTCTTTCATTTCTGATGAGACAAAAATAAGATTTTATTTTTAATACTCTTCCCCTTTTTCTAGCAGAAGAAAACAGAATTTTATTCCATAACTTTCAAGTGAGAAATATTTTGTTAGTATTTTAACAATTTTTTTCTCTTTTTTTCCTTTTTCGTTTTGATAAAAATTGACCTTTAACTAACCATTGCCCTAGCAAAGTAGCATATATGGCCAACAGTAAACGTTTTTTGTTTGTTTTCAGCAAATTTCACTTTAGAGATGATCAGTTAAGTCGCTGAGTTCATATCTGCATGATATTTTATACTTGGTAATTGCTTCCAAAAGTGTTTGTTAAAATATTGATCCTTATGATGCATGTCAACAGATATTGAGCTGAAGAATTTGGTCTCTGAATTGTGTAGGTTTGCAGTGTGCAGGAAGGATCAGGCAGTGATGCAGGTAATTATCACCTGACGTGACAACATGATGGTACCGTAAGCCACAATGCCTAAACTTTACTTGGATGTATATGGGCTTTGAAATCCTGTGACAAAAATGAAATGAACTCCTGTCACTTCAGTAAGGAACTAGTAGGGAGATATTAAAAAAAAAGCCACACAAATATTAGAAGTCCCTGGAAGCTAATGAACCAGTTTCCTTTAGCTGAAATGACATAGCGTCTGCCAAGAAATCCAAGGACCAACCTATGTTTCTCCCTCGAAAGCAATTAGTCAATCAGTACCTTCACAGATCTGTGAAACAATCTGTCCTATTTCATACTGTCTGTGCAAGAATTACTTTAAAGTGATAAGGTTACTTCAGTGAAGCCTGGCAAAGACTTTTACAATAGGGTTGTGTGCTGTTAGTCACCAGCAGCACGCTAAGAAATGTCAACTGTAATTAAAACCAGTCATTTTCAAATATGTGCCATGCTTCGGAAATGGTGAGGAATGCTTTCTACAGTAGGAATTCTCAGCCCTGTGAGCACAGACTTTTTTTAAGATTTCTTTTTTCTTTTTGTGGGAGGAATATTTTTTTCTTTTTCTTTTGGCAACACCATTTTGGAAGATGTTTATTCATTAAGGCAATTGTACCAAAAATCACAGAACTGCAGGTTTCTTCTCTAAGCTTGTCACAGTTTTTATTGAGCTTGAATTTAAAGATTGTCCCTGCATGTAATTCTGAGAACATGGCGTGGAATCTATTTTAAAGATTTGTGAAAAAAATTGGCAATAAACCTATTTACTGAAAAGTGACATTTCAAAGTACTGAACTGAAATTTTGTTCAGCTTTTGGCAAGTAGTTTTGGAAAAATCAAAAATACAAGTTTGTAAATGGTTAAAGACTTGCTTCTAAAATAAAACATTTAAATGTTGCAGACTAATTTCACATAAGGATACAGTTTCCGTTTGCAAAGATAAGGAGAAGATAACCCCTCCCCTATACCCAGTTTACTTAACTCTCCATGTACTGATGTGGTAATTTAAACATGATCCTCCTTGATCCCAGGCAAACAATTTAGCAGCAGAGGTGTAAGGTGCTCCGGGACAAAAGTGACTCACTGTGTGTGGTTTATAACTGGAGCAGTGTCTGCAACTTGGATTTTTCATTCACTAGAGAGGGCTCTCTGGTCACTCTCATGCCTAGTAAGTATTTGGTCGATCTTTAAAAAATGTGAGAGACAATTGAAAACATGGCCTCCAGTCATCTTCATACTGATCTGGAGATAGTAGACCTGTAAGTGTTTTTTCACAGTATGGTCAAAGTACATTTTGAGAGACTGTGAGGTATGGTGATGGCAAAGGTTTCTTATTGTGTGCAAGATGGGTATGTGCCTGTGTGTGCAAAGGCAGCTCTGGCTGGCCTCACGTACGTGTTTGAAGAGATTAGTGTGGTGCCGAGTGCTGTCTTTGCACAATTTTTCAACTCGGAGGAGGTGCTGTCGTTATGCCTGCGCTTCGGACAGTGGGGCAGAAAAACAAAAAGTGAAGACTTTTGAACTAGTTTGCTCACATATTTACTCAGTTAAAACCTATTGTTTTTCAAAGTTATGTTAAGACTGAATATGACGTTGAAGGTTGAATCCCACTTCTATTGGAGTCAATGGCCAAACATTCATTCGCCTGGTTAGGGCCAACCAATATTTTGTTGTAATGAAACGTCAGCTGTCCCACACAGACAACAAACAGCTTTTAGATGTGATAAAGTACTTCCCTTACCTTCTGGTAAAACAGTTTGGGAACAGCATCACTGGCTAATGAGAGGTTTCTGCTGAGGAAAGTCCTCTCAGTTCCAACATATATTCTCTTCAGACAATATTTGGCTTTATGGTAAAATTCTTACCTTGGCTTTATGGTAAAATTCTTACCATCTTCTCAAATAAAAAAATAACTCAGGACTACCCTTTCGGAAAACTGGACTGAAGACATAAACAGGAGACTATACTAGCACCATTTCAGTGAAATAAAATAAAATTTCTTGAATGACTTCATGCCTGAATTGGCTGTTTAGGAAGTAAAATGTTTCACATTATATATAAAATTCTGAATAAATGAATGCAGAAAATGTATTATATCAAATTTTATTCCTTTTTGTTCACTTGATGCACATCAAACTTAATTCTTGGTTGTTATTTTAAAGTGACATTAACTAAACAGAAATTTTAAAAGAATTGAAGTGCAAGCTTCACATTACCTCAGTCCTTATTGCTGTTTTAATTGATAGGTATTTTGAATTTAATTTTTAGTTATTGATACTTGTATAAAAACAGTGAAGACCGCTTTTAAAGTCTTCACTGCTTTCACTATATCACAAAAAGATGATATAATTACACATCTATTCCTATAAGGTTCATTGTCATGCAACTTGTTGTGTAATGAATGAATTATACCTTGAGAGAGATAACATCTTGGTCCTCTCAGGGTGAAGAGACATATTTCCTGCCTGAAAATAGCATCCTCACAACCAACAACAGTAAGTTTCATAAACTTTGAACTTTATTATGAGAATCTTTCATGATGATTATCCTCCCAGCAAAAAAGTTAAGAGTAAATTCATTATTGTCCTTAGCTCTATAAAAACCTGTAAAAGAAGTCTGCATTTTTCAATGCCAACACACAAATTTGAATCAACATGCAGTTACTGTGATTTTTTTTCTTTTACTGGTTCTAGTAGATCGTAAATGAAATATTTACCTGACTAGTGTGGCTCTCCTTATGTCTTTGAATCGATGAGCCTGCCGTAGTACTGGCCGACAGTCTTGAATATTCATTTTCCTCTGGTAAACCTAAAGCAGAACAATACTAATTTATAATCTGACATTTATGCATTGACTGATTTCAGCATGAGATTCAACAGACCTTGACACGTTTTACTAAAAAAGAAAGAAAAAATCACAATTTGCCTGGATATTTACTATTTCCATGCTTACTGAAACTGGAACAATTATTGTTTGCCAAGTATGAATAGCATCATAGGTATGCACCCTGGTTTGCGGAGGAGCAATTGTACTGAAAGACCCTACAAATGACACATTACCTATACACTGGCCAGGGATTCCTCCTGCAATGCGGAAATCCTTGGCTGCTCTTCCCCTGGCTCCTTGTCATCGCAGAAGCAATGCAAACAGAATGGAAAGCAGGCCTGCAGTCTGCTCTGAAATTAATGTCTCTAGGTCACATAGGAAGTCAATAGTAGGTCTAGGACTTACAACTTCATCTCCTCAGTAGCGAGGGTTGTTTTTTTTTAATTCTTGTATTTTTTGTGTGGTCTCCATGTGGGAATTACCTGCCCGAAATTTAGCTGTGTAAAAACCAGCCATCCAGTGTAAAAGCCCAGGTAGTCTCCCTCTGTAGCCAAGAGAAACCAACACCTCTTGCACAGTGACCCTAGAGCGAGGCTCACTGCCGGCGCTTCCCCATCACTTCTGCTGCAGTGGGAAGACCATTCACATAGCACTACAGAGGATCTGAAAGGCGGGGTGAGGGGAAGCAAAGGCAGAAGCAGAAACACAGTGAGTCCATCATAGGTGTGATTAAGCCCCTCACAAACTAGAACCACAGACACCATGGTAGGTCTGGTATCCAGCAATTTTGGGATTGTTTTGTATAGCATGTATTCCAAATTTTCATGCTACTGTGGCATCCATAAATAGCATGTCACTACTGCTTTAGTCGACTGAACAGAGCTAGCCGCCATGAGAAGAAGATTCATCCTGGTAAGAGATACGCAAGATTAATTGTTCTCAGTAGATCACCTGAGATTTACTAACTAGACACAGATAAACATCTAATCTGAAGTATTTGATTAGACTAGGCATCTACCTTTTGTGTGGCTAAAACGAGGTAAGGTGATTCTGGGCCTTGATATGTAAATCTAGAAATACATAGTAAGAAAAAATGAGGCGAGCTCCACTCTATGCACAACATAGAATCACAATGGAAACAATTTAAAGTACAAATGCAATTAAACATAAACAATTTATGGGACTATGTTATTGCACTAGATATAGTTCTGCTTCATGTTCAGTTTCTTATTCAGTCATGAAACCGGCATAGAAACACACTGTGAAACATACTAGTCTTCCAACCTGCTATTTTCAGTATTTTTAAAAAATATTTTGATAAATGAGCATTAATTTGTACATGGTTACTGATATATGATTTAACTTATGAAAATATAAATTCCATGAATAATCCCATAAAATAACCTGACTTTGTGAGAGAAATTGAACAAGAATTTTAAAGAGAAGGTATGACCCTTATTCCTTTTTGGCCTCTCTTGCCTTGCTCTGAGTTTCTCCCTTTTAATGGTGCAACTCCACGCCTTTGTGATTAGGGACAGCTGTATTTTTTTAATTTGTTCTTCTGAATAAAGCTTGTGCAAAGTATTTATAAATATGGATATTTTTCTACAGCTTCAAGTCATCTGGACTTCCTCTGGAGACACACAGGCAGCGAACAAGGTGGAACACCTGCTTGCAGCTCAGGAGCCAGGTCAAATCTTGTGAAAATCCAGTATTTCAGTTCTTTTCTGCTTGGTGCAGAGACAGAGTCTGACCCTGTTCTTTCAGTGATTTGAGCTATGTGTTGTTCTGAGGTGAAGTTATCACTTTTTGAAGCTGGTCTATGATATATTTGGTATGTACGGGGCCAAGGTCTGATGTTCAAGGTCTCCAGTATACTAGGCTTGTAAAATATATGTCAGTTACCGTTGCTCCTTTCTTACCTATATTAAATTCCCTGTCCTCCAACTTAAAATTCTCCCTTAGCAAAATCATATATTTTTTGTCAAATGAATGCTTGAAATAAATTTCCCTTCAAAAATCCAGGTTTTGTCAGCACAAAAAAATCCCTTTTTTAAAATAATTTTCTGAACTAGTAATTTATTCACATGGATACCGCTTGGATACATCTCAAAAAAAGGAATAAAAAATTATTCACATTTTGATGCAAAATGCCTTTTTAAAGTAGGTGTTATTAATTTAATTAAAATAAAATATATAATGTAAAACATTTGCGTGATTCTAGACCACCATACATGAATGAAAATACTTTCCTAGGCCAGCAGCAGGTTTTGAAAAAGATACTGCTTTTGCACTATTTTCATATCCTTTAGGATCTACCATCCATGAGAGCCTTGAGCTAAGAATAAGGTTATAAATGATTTTCCATTTATTTCTATGAAAAGCACTTTGATAAGAGGTCTTATCAGATATGTAAAGTTTCCATGTACAGCAACAGCACGTGGCCACAGACATGGCAAGCAGAGGTTTGGTGGAGTTTGGAAAGGCCAATGGAGTAGTTGATTGCATTCTGAGAGTTTTCCTTTACGTACACCTAGGTAAATATTAGGATATCACACTTGTGCACTGAATAAGACCTTGTGTAATTCAGCGCAAGGCTGGAAGCATCAGCTTAGCAGGGGCAGGGGCAGCACTACAAGAACATACATTAATCAGTGGTTCAGGCTGGAGCACAAATTGCACCATCTAGACTGGGCTTTCTTGCAACTGCTCTCAAGTTACCAAAAGTAAGTCTAATTTGGCATTTTTTTGGCAAAACTATGCTTGCTAACATTATTACTACAATTATATGTGGTTGTGAAAATGATAGCAAGGAATATGATTCAGTCAATAATCTCTAACTGGAGAAGTTAAATGAAAGAAATGCATTCAGTTTTTTTTCACATAATCAGGAATATGGACTTATCCCAAGAAATATGTGTATTCAAAGTAGAAACCCAGTCCTTTATCCACATACTCCCTGTAATGCCTTTTCTATATTGCTTCAAAGGAAAATCCCTGACTCAATCCCCGATCTTCTTCCTATACTTCCTATTTCCCATTTCTGCCCTGTTCTCAGATACTCCTCTTAGGATCCTTTAGATAAATAGCTTGCATCTCAGATATTGAGATCTAGATCACATCTAGAAATGGTTCAGTGGTTCCAGAGAGCCTCCAGTCTCATATGGTCTGCTACCCCCAAACTGGAGACCTTACACCTCCTGGCCTCCGACATCTATATTTGCAAAACACAGCACAGAGTCTCTGGGTCTTTGCAACTATGGGCACACATCATTCCCCAAACCTTTGACCTTCCTCCATGATTCTGCATTCAAACACAGGCTGAATCTTCTGATCAGCTTCACTTGATACATTGGGTGCTATAGTGTGAAAGAGGCATCACCAGTAAAGGCTCTGTGCTCAACAGCATGTAGCCCGTGACACGGTGACATGCCCCTTTTCTGTCAGGTTGTCTGCTGTGACACCTCTCCCATTCTGCAACTCATTGCCTGATGTGCTTAGAACTGGTGGTAAGTTTCAAGAAACTGTAGAGCAGGCTGTAGCCCACAGGTGACCTGCTTAGACCTTCTCGACAGCTAAAGTTAGACAAGACTAAGCCCCTTACCTGGATAATGCATAGAGCGTTTGGTGAAACGGACAGGTTCTTGCAGATACTCTTATGCCGATATGCGTAAACTATATAGTGAGTCCATCAATATGGATCTCCATACACAAGCAGTGGACCTCTGTTATAACTGAAGAGAAGAGGAATAACCAGAGAGGCTTCCTTTGAAGGACAGCAGTGTGCCAACGGAACTGGATGAGCAGCATGCTGCAAAGGGCGTGCCTGTAGCACCGTTAGGCACAGCGCAGCACAGTGCTCCTTCGGTCCAGCAGGGCTGTCCCGTCTGTACTACAGCTGCTCTAACTTTCACTTGGGTTACACAGACTAAGTACCTCTACAACACACTCCACTGGGAGTGAAGGGCAGTCAGATACTTGGAGATTTTCTCCCTTTCACTAACCAAAGGTTAGTTCACCTCAGTCATTTATCATAGTCGTCATATTTAAACATTTCACTTAATGATTAAATATTCCTCTATATCCTATTAGGTACTAGTTGGCAATGGCGACAAATTTCAGTAAACTTTTACCAGCAGTGCTTGAGTGTCTCCCACCAGAGGATATGCTATTTTGCGTGATTTAGGATCACAACGCTCAGCATCGTAATGTAAAAGGTTATTATAGGTTTTCTGATTACTTTTTGTGTTTGGACAAAAAATAGCAAAAAGGTGTTACTCCTAATATTAAAGATAAACCAAAGAAGAGGAGGATTACATTACATAAAATGAAAAAGCAACTTTATTAAAATTCTGAACTAACAGCAATGCCAGATATTAAACTCAGCTTCCAAAAGAAACACAGCATTAATGTGATTGGAAGCTGAGCCAGCCAGCTTTTTAGCTGCTTAGTAATGGTTTTCTAAAGAATTCATCAGGTTATAAGTAAGATTAACATCTTGGTCAAAATGATTATTCTTATGACTATTGTGACTTCAGGTTTCGTGACACTTCAGAGGTGTGGTGCTGACACTTCATTCACGACAGCAAAAGACTGGTCTTACTTAAGAAATTGCTTCTATATTAAGTTATAGGAGTAATGTATGAACCAAGACTTTAGTTCTATCAGTGGAAACTAGATTATATAGTTGCACTGTGTAACAGTGGGAAGCAGATTACTCTATATTCAAGAGTTTTTTAATCTCAGTATCAACTATTTAATAATGCATTTCAGGTTTTATTTTCTTCAAAGCTAGAGGAGTTTGGTATACAGTAACGAAGAAACGGAAAAGTATTTTACATGGAAACATCTCATGACACATCTCAAATATCAGCATTGCCTAGATATATCGAGCAAGGCACAGATTTAAAAATCATGAAGCTGTTGAGGTTGAATCCTGGAACGATTTTTTCCCTAAACAAAGTGGCAAACTGGTTTTGAATTCATGTAATCAAAGTACAACAAAGTTTTCCATATTGTCAACCCTTTCAATTATTATTAAGGGCAGCTGGAAAACTAGCATTCTGTATCACAAAATTTATCATTTTGGTCTGCACCAGGGTAAAATCAAAGCTTGCATCATTTCTACAACAGTCTGATAGGCAAAATGTAGATTTGAACCTTGATATACCACAAGTAGTGATAATTCCTTACTGAGCAGGATACTGCCAGACCTAAAGGGAGTTTTTTTCTACTCAGAGTATACAGTGAATACCATTCCTTATCAAAGCTGTATCAAAATTGGGAACCTTCCATAGAAAGTTTGGGTTTGATAGATCAATTTTTTTTAATGGAAAAAAATTTTACAGGAAAATTCCATTGCATGACATTACACCTTTATGATTAAACTTTCCATTTACAAATGGTTTGAAAAGAATTAGTTTATGCATAGTAGATACTATATATTACCAACATGAACAGCCCTGGCTGCTAGTGGTTGCAAGCACACTGATAAAAACTTCACACAAACACACATGTCAACTATTAGATGGCCTTTTATTCAGGCAATGACTATTTATTTCAGTAATTGAGATTGTTTACTAACCTAACTATAACCATCACAAGTTATAAATTTACTTAAAGCATCATTTCATTTCTAAGCTGAAAGAAACACAGGTCTTCTGATTAAACTCCCAGCTGAGGGGTCTGGGGATAAAATGCTTTCTCTTATGAAAAGCTCATCTCTCACAGGTCCCATTAGGACATCAGAATATATGGTTTAAATCCTACATAGCAAGGAATCAAAGACTTGGTCTACCCACAGTTTCTGTGTTAGTTTAACAGCCTGACTGTTATACATACTGAAAATATGCTCCCTTCCTACGCAAATTATTATATTGATATAGATGGGGCCATGGTGGTAATGGACAAAGATGCCTTTTTCTTCTGTCAGTGTGTTCCTGATTCCACACGGGAATGAATACACCTTTACACTTGTATAACTTCTCAGACTGCATGAGTTTTCTGCTTTGATTATCAGAGAGAGCAGGAAGAATTATTTTGGCCAAGCACTGCAGGATTTGGAGAATAGCTTTTCTTGAAAAGACAGGAATTATTTGACTTCAAAATGTTTCATTTTGTTAATAAAGCTTGATTTTTCATTTCAAAACATTGCATATTAAGCATCTCTAGATTTTTTTTTAAAAAGAATAGCATATTTAGAAAACAAAATGCAGTATTTCACTTGACCTAAAATTCCCTTTGATTTTTCCAGTATAGCTCTCAAACCACCAACTGCATTATGTGTAGTTTTACCCTTAACAGTAAAGGCTATACAACTGTTCTGCTTACACAAACCATATTTAGACTTAAGTTTTCAGCATGAAAAGAATTGTACTCAGTGCCGTGCAAGTATTTAGACATCTGCTTCTCCACGTTCTATTGAAACAAATACTATTTGTCTTGTGTCTATTCATATTTGTGTATTTGTATTGTGTGATTTTATGTAACACATGTGTTATATCCTTAAGACTAATGCTTTTAAGACCTTGAAAGATTTCATTCTTTCTGTCATTGCTCTTGCACCATTCAATTGTCCATTACACCAAACAATTTGCCATTCACTAGTAAGGCACCTGTAGCAAAGGGATTTTCCATTTTCTGTCCCATTTATATTGATTATAGGATCAGAAATCTCAAATCTCAGTCCTCCATGCCTCGGGCTGCTTATAGACTTGGAGCTGAACTAATTACAAATGCCTCAACAGAGGCTGTTTTATTTTCTTCACATGGAGCTTTTATTGGAGTGGGGCTTATCAGTTCACACGTACAAAGTTAAGCCAGTTCCAGAAACACAGATATTTCACAACTCAGAAGATTCCAGCTTGACTAGATCTTAAAAAGCTCATCCAAGGAAACACTTCAGCAATTTTATGTTAGAAGAGCTTTGGGATTAAAATGTGCTTACCATTTGATACTGAATTTCCATTTTCAGCAGTCACAGAACTGGACAGTGGATTAGATGACTGAGTTCCATGGTTATTTGCATTTTTATCCTGGGTTTCTGGTCCAATATCTGATGTATTTGGATCTTCCCGGCTCCTCAAGTTTAGATTTGTTTCAGCACCTGACACAAACAGAGAAAAACCTTGTCAGCTTCCTATTAACTAGTGGCTTTCACATATAAGTAGAAAAAACTAACAGACAGAAACCAAATTATTTTATCAAATTAATTTAATTGATCACTAAATTCATGAAGCCAGTGATAAATGTGAAAGGTTTAAGTTGGTGATTTTTGCAGGATTTTTCGATTTTTTGCTAGTGTTCCAATTGTAGCCATTTAAAGTTTATGGAAGTGAAAGGCATTAACAAAAATTCATTTGTACTGTTCCTTTTCACATAAATTTCAGATGATAAAACTTAGCAAATGTTTCTATTCCCTCTATTTTAGATTCTATTCTGTTTCACATGAGTTCATATTCCACTGTCATCACTGCAATGCCTTTCACTATTGCATTATGTGTTACTAGCAACAGCTGTAACACTGGTTGATTTTTTTTCTCTTCTCTCCTTCCACAAGAACTGAAATGGATTTTGATATGAAACCATATGCAGCAAGATTTCTCCCAGCAGAGCCTCCCTGTGGGCATTATTTACCCTGCCTCAGGGCTCTCCAGCCTCAATTGTCATTTTCTATAAAGTTCCAGGTTTTCATGTCATAGACTTTTAGTTAAGTTTCTTCAAGACATCAGGAGGATGTCTGATCCTGTAGGAGTTCCCAAGCTATGTACAATGCACAGGCATTTCTTCAAAGAGAAGGGCAAAACCCTCCTCCCCTTCTCCCTCTGACTGATGGCGCCTACAGGCAAAGCAGAACAGCTCACAGCGAAGCACCCACAGCTGGCTCTGGGCTTGCCTGGCTTTGTCAGCCCGGTGTGCCACGGGAAACAGGGCTCAGCCATCCGCCGTGCCCGAGAGGTGCTCCCCACTGGAGCTCAGGGGCCGGTGGCAGGTTCAGAGCTGGGAGACAAGACCGTGAATGGATGGAGATGGTAGGAGGGACCCCCAATGCAGCTCTGGTACCCCTGGCTACCCCCAGTCCACCCCCGTGTGGCAGGGCTGACGAGGCTGCGTGAAATGCTGCACTGGGAAGGCTATGCATTTTTTGATAGATTTCTCTCTCTTTTCTATGTTTCTCTTCGTTTTGTAGTGAACATGTATACATACTATTTCCTTGACATAATCAGATTTGTTTCATGGAAGACAAAGCCAAATTCCGTTCTCTCTCTGTTTAGCTCCATTTTAGTCTTCCTAACTCTTTCCACCTACTCTGAGAGCTGGCCTTAGTGGTGGGCTGACATATTATGACTGACCTGGGTGCAGAGGACCTCATTTAGCACTGTAAAATGGAAATTTTTCTTCTATGGCATCTCTCAGAGAGCTATTCCTTGATTTTGGTTGTGTCTGCTTAAGCTTTGTCATAATGAAAGCAACAACCAACGGAGGTCAAAAGACTAGCTATTAAAACCAACATTACCCTTTCACTCATATTTCCAATGACATCCTCAGCTCTGCTAAAGATATAATATATTTTTATAAGTCTTCAGCACATGAGCATTTTTCAAGCGGACAGGAAAAACATTTTTTCACCAGGTAACAGATACTTTGCCTGCAGATTTGCAAACTTAATGTTGACTGCATGATCAATTTTTAATTTTTATGCCTAACAACCCCCACCTGATTTACAAAGTACCAACATTTTTAAAATGAACTAATGAAGCAAAACTGTATATCCATTCTGGTTAACTTGAAATGTTTCACTTCATTGAAAACGGCTTTCTTAGTTTTGTTTAGCTTTCAGTTATCTAACTCTGAATCTTTTTTAGTATTTCCTTTTCTAACAAAAAAGCTGGCTTGAAAAGTCAAAAAGTTCATTTCCAAGCTGTCAGGATAAAACATTTTAATGAGGTTTTTTTGCTCCCTCCCTTGTCCTCGTTCTCTGATCATTATTTTTTGCCAGATCTGATTGAAGTGTTTCAGTGGCACTGTTTCATAAACTGCGTATTTAGGCAAATGTGCTATTCATTGAAAAAATTAGTCCAGCTCTACCCACAGTAACTGATGGGAGAGGCAGCAGAACCGGAGTCTGAGCTGGAAAATGCATACAGTACAATTATAAAAGCATGCCTGATTTAGCTTTTGTACAAGCAACTTGACTGCAAAATGCATCTTTGCAGCTCATGTTAAGTTTGTCTGAAAAGGAAATGTCACTTTTAGATGTTAATAGTCAGTGCACTTGCCTATAGATCATAATCCACCTACATAATTATTGTGCCACCTTTTACATAAAGAGTCTCGGGGGAAGTGGCTGGGATCCTTATTTTTCTTGATAACTGAAAGATTTATTGATTTGCCTGACAACTGCAATTCATTTGAGAATGTGCAAGTAGAAAGACTTTTTCTTGCATTCCTATTTGCAGAAGCCTTTTGTTTCACAGGTACATTGATATCTTTTCATGGCATTCATGAAGGGCTCTCTTCTCCTCTACCTTTTCTCCTTTATTTCTGTACGATGAAGTACTACAAAGAACTGTGGATAGCTACTATTGATCTAAAACATCATCCTAAATTGGCAGAAACAAGTAGTGGACAGATACGGAACATATCATTGGGACAGCTATCTAGACAGAGATCTGTTATCCTATTTGCTCTATTTGTCTTGTAAGACATGCACACCTTTAGTCTCCAAATAGAGGACTATACAGAGAAAATATACTTCATAGTGCCTTATTTCATTAATCTTAGCGGTGGGAGAGAAGACTGTATTTTGTTTCAGAATAATCTGGATTAGATGAAGTTACTTGGGCTAATTTTGTATATATAGGCATCTTCAGCTCCTTGTTGGAACAGGATTTGAGGACGCTTTAGCCAGGTGTAACCAGTGTACTCTCCCAGTGCTGCAAAACATACCTAGGTTCACAGGGTAATTCAGGCTGGAAGAGACCTCAGGAGGTCCCTCGTGCACCCCCGCTCCAAGCGGGTGAACTGGCTGCAGGTTATCGGTGTCTCTCCTGCACTGGGGGCACCAAACTGGCCATGGTACCCAGATGTGGTCTGACGACGAGTGCTGGGTGGAGGGGACAACCCCTGCCCCGAGCTCCTGGCTGTGCTCCTGCTGACCTGGATGCTGCTGGCCACCGCTCCTCCCGGGGCTCGCTGCCGGCTCCTGCCCAGAGCCCAGGGCCCCCAGTGCCCTTTCCCCAGAGCTGCTTCCCGGACAGTCTGTCCCCAGACTGTATCCTTGCAAGAGGTAATGCCTTCCCAGGTGCAGCACTTTGCATTTGTTTTTCCAATAAGCTTTAACATGCCAGAAGTCCCTGTCTTTATCTTCTGTGCTGAGGTACCCCTCTCTGTCCTGCCTCCCCATTACCAAAAATCTCCCTGAGCATAACAAAGGTGTCTCCTGACTTTTTATCATAATATTTCTATTCTGTATTCTCATAATATTTCTATTCTGTATTCTATTATTATCATTGCACGGTGGTATCTTAGATGGGAATATTGTGGACAATTATAAAAGATATAGGGAAGCCCTCTGTTAACACTAAAGACTTAGAAAATTCCTACTGATTCCTATTTTATCTATCAACTATTGGTCTGAAATTCACTTCACCCTCATGTTTTCTCAGTCACCTAATATAGAAGTTTGGACTCTTCTCCACATTAATGGCAACTTCCCCCTGCTGCCATGAACCCCTGCAGATACAAGTATGCACTGCTCTCTCATCCCTTAACAGTTTTCTGAAACTATCAGAAATAATTTAAGAGAGAGGAAAAGAAAAAACTATGGTTCCTACAACTGAACATCTTCAATAACACGCTGAATGTTAGCTTTTTGTTTAGACTTGTGCTCTGCTGTTCTCACCAGATGGATGGATTATTTACCAGGTTTCAACTTTTTTTTTAAGTAACAGCATTTTAACAGTTTCCAGCTAGTAATAAATGTTATTTGAAGAGTCATCCATGCCTACTTGTGAGAGACTAGCTACAGAGAGGTATCAGCTGTGGGATCATGGTGGGAGTTCATGATTTTAGAAGGAATACAAGCTTTAAGTGAAAACCTGCAGATTCTTTGCAACAGTGAACTTGGATTATTATTTCAGTAAACTGACTTTGCCAAAAAGATATCTCTGACTCAGGCGAATTCTGCTCTCACTAGTCTTGCAGCTAGTGAGGTTATATGGACTACAAGGATGTACGGAAGTTTGGATTGGGGGCATAATTGTCCCCTCAAACTGCAGCATAGTTAATAGCTGGAAGCAATCACATGTATAGTGCTTTTAATCAGACTATGACAAATCAAAGTGTAACATTTATTTCCTTACAAGCAAGCTCTGTATTCCAATAAACCCATTATTAATTACATCAATATTACTTGAAAAGTGTAAGAGGAAAGGTATGCAAAAAAGGCAGCTCATGAAATCCACATTTGCTTGTTATTCTCAGTGTTCCTGGAAAAGACTGAATTTAAAACTCATGACAAAGTCATAAGGCACAGGATGGACTGAAATTTCGGTTATTTTGGAAAGAAAAGTCAGAGTATGGCAATCACGGAAATGATTTAATATACCTACTTCTTATTTTCCTTTTTGAGTCATTATCTCACTCTTAAAAGAAACCCAAGGCACTGAAAGTCTACATAATATAACTTTTTTGTCAAAAGAATAACTTAAACCCTTTTAATTGAGCTATGACTTCCAAATAGCCTATTATAAAGCTGTTTTTTCTCAAACATAAAATGTAGGATCCCAAGCATCATAGTTATTTCATAAGTAGTACTTAGGCTGAATTAATTCTGTTATCACCAGATCAGAAAATGGGCTAGCATAGGCTCTATTCAAATGACAGAAAAAAAGTGCAGTACTAAAACATTTTGAGAAACTTAATTTTGTAAGGAAATTATTTAATAAAGCCTAAAGCAAAGTATAAATGAGTGACAGATATCAGCATTTAGGTGGAATCACCATATACTCTTTGTGCAGCAAGACATGAAAAAACAGTATGTTGTTAAAAGCCCAGCAGTAACTCACTCGGTTAGGTTGTATTTTTCTTTTCTTTCAAAGCCCT